TTAGCACAAAAGTGAGCTGTCTCTAAATCAAGACCAATGCAACGAGGTCCCCGTCTTGTATACACCGTTGGAACACGGCATCGTTTGCCATCGTCTGTGGTCTGAAGACCCATATTTCTATCCCGACAAGAATTAGTAGCTGTGAGCGACTTCTCTCGTTTGTTGACGTTTAACGTTCAAAACACATTAAAACACACTATCAAACCGTGTAATCCGAGGATTGTGGAACGCCCCAGTCTAAGCATCCCACAGAGATCTCCGTACTTCTCCTGGAAGTCCTGCAGTGAAGAAAAGCCAAATATCATCTGGTGAAAACGTCCGACGACGTCGACCCCAAAGACTGGTCGGTGGCTTCAACACGGGAAGGGAAGAAGATGAAGAAGTCTGAGTTGGAACAACTCTATGTTTGAAACCAGCCAGAATTCTGTCTTGTTTCTATTTACTGTAGTTGAGAATCACAACATGTACTTCAGAAAGCAGCACTGGGTGCTCAAATCAGCACCTTGTGAATGTGGCGGGGAGTTTTTGTTGATGACATGTTTGGATGCTCAAAACATTCATTATTGTCGATGTCCTGGTGCTATCTGGTCTGAAAGGACATCATGGTACCCCTGCCCACATTTAAGTGATTGTGACTTGTTTGGAGGTCTGGGTATCGGCCCAGGAGTGGCATATCAATGTTGAGCTGGTGGGCAAAAAGGATCAAAACAGGCTGAGCCACTGGTTGCTGCCAATGACAGCAAAACCAAACCTCAAACTTTACATGAAGTACTTGCCTGACTGACCAACTGATTGGCCAACCGACTGACTCGCATCTATACTTTTGTATACTTTTGTTTCGTACTTGCTTGCTTCATATCAGCCGAACAAATCAACAAACGTTCAATTCCTATCTGGCCCACTAACTATCTCTGTAGCCTGCAACACATGTTGATCCGGGACTTCTCATATAGCTTCTTGTTCCTAGTAGCTTCTTGTTACTACTAGTAAGGCCAGGAGCCCCTAGTAGCGTCCTTGCTCCTAGTAGTAAGGCCAGGAGCCCCTAGTAGCTTCTTGTTCCTAGTGGCATGCGGTCGCCACTGCCACGTGTGGCGCGACTGGCGTTTCGGCCGATCCGTCGCGGTCGCCTCCATGGTCTTCATTTCGCCCTTGGGCTCTGGCAGCGGCCGTCGCTCCTCGAAGGCGAACCCAGCTCTCTTGGACTCAGGGTTGGAGCAGGGTTAACTCATTCAAGTTGGGAACATACGCTGGGTTTTCGCACGTCTTGGTTGCTTCATGTTCCTTCCAATCAGACCTGCCAAAGCTTTCATTGCGGTTTTTTGTTGCAGTGCAGTGCACAGGTCTGATGTGATACATGGATTGTGGTTATAATTGCACTCCACAAACACACACACCAAACACCAAACCCAACATGTCATCTTGACCTTGAAAGTGGCAATCATCTTCCAAACCCTCCTGGCAGCACCTTGGGTATGTTGGGGAAGTAACCCCTTAGTCAAACTTTCAATCGCCGTGGCAGTTTACATGGCTTTCCAGAGTGTCGGATCTGCAACCACCCTATGGATACAACATGATACAACCATCATATGAACCAGAAAGCAGGTTTGGGATCCAAATAGCAACCAAAATAATCTCTGGTTCAAGAGAGAAGACTCCGTCCACACTGACAGCTCTAGTACAGTAGAAGAAAACTGGAACCTCATTCGTTTTGCCTTCATTTTATAATGTTTTGGATTAATTGTTGCTTGTTAGCAAGAACATGCAAGGACTACAAGTGTCTCCTTCTCCTCGTTCTTCTTTCGAAACAAGCTTGGAAATGGGCGCAGCCGCAGCGATCCTCAAATGGGCAGATTTTTTGGACGCAAAACACCTGCGGCTTCAAACAGGTTGGGCTTCAACAACATCGAAAACATGCTTCAAAAATACAGTGGCTGGAGGATCTCCAGGGATCAGATTTTGACACAGCAACATACACACAATAGCTGCAACGCATTCAAAAAAACACACATCCCTCCATAAGTGACTGGCCTGCACGCTTCCTCAAAGTCTTTCCATCATGGGGATCCCCAACCAATCACTCCAATTCTTCCCAGCTCACTGGGCTCGCGACGAGGGCCAGAATGGTGCCGATGGTGTGAACGCACACGTTCCCAGGTCTCCTGGTTTCGCACAGCAAACGGATAGGTCTCTCGCTGAGTAGTTTTGAGGAGCCTGTGGAATTCTCGATCGTTCCCAAGGTCGCTTCCAGAACTTCTAGGGGTCTTTACTCGCCTTCGTCATGGAATATGGAAAACGACAACGACCCGAGACCGGAGTAATGACAACGGCTGCAGCTAGTTGCGCATCTCTTGGGCGTCCAATTTTTTGATTTACAGGCTATTGCAGCCCCCAGAACTCTTGGCTCAAGTCATCAAGGATAATTTTGGAGACTCAAAATGTTCACCACCACTTGAAGCATTTGGAAGTTCACCAAGGGTATCGGCTAGTGTTTGAAGGAGCGGGGAAAATTCGCGAGCACTGAGCACAAGCTTGGTCCAGAATGGGAAAGGTGCTTGTGTTTGGGTAGCACTCTCAGGTCAACCAAGCTTCTAGTTCTAACCTGAAGTCAACGGAATTGTCAAAGACTTTTGAGGAGGAAACACACCCACCAAAACTACTTGGTGGGAACCTGCAGGCGGCTACTCGTGTTGCGTTATCTTTTGGGCCATAGCCTTCGAATTGACGCAGGAGCTGAGCTGGGGCGTTTTCTCCGATGGCCGCCGATGGCCCGCTGTGACGCCCAGTTCCGCCCCCTCCAGCAGGGAGGCCGGCTGCAGCTGAGGGCCCTGAGAGATGTGACACCACAGCAGCTGAGGAGTTTGGAGGGACAAACATTGTGACATGCGAATGGTGAACAAATACAGAACACTCCAAAGACACTCCAAAAGCTCAGCTGTTGTGTTTTCCATCAAAGCGATAGAAACAAACCACAACACAAAAGAACATCAGTCTAAAAAAGATCCGCAAATAGACTCTTGTCACTGGTTTATATACACATACCTCACATACCTCTTGCTGGACCCACCACCAATGGATGATGTTTCTAGGGTCAACCTCCTACAAAAGACTGTGGATGTAGATGGATGTAGGGACCCCGCAAACAAATCAAACAATAGGTGGACACACCATTGAAAGACTCTGAAACACTCTGGGTGACATCCGTTCTCTTCGCGTCTTTACAAGCAAATTCATATACATATATATACACTCACTCTCTCTCTCTCTCTCTCTGGAACTCACATGGTTTCGTGAATGGCACCGCCTGTTTGGTCTTGGGAACATGGTCTTCCAGTTTGGGCTATTCTCCACTTTCATGTCTGAGTTCCAGGGGCACCGTGCTCGCCTCCAATGTGAGGCCACGGTCCACGGGGGGCCGCTCAGCTCGAAGCACCTGAACATCAGCTTGCGCAGCTCGTCAAACAAAGAAATGAAGGAACACACAGGAACACCATGGAACACCTACAGGAACACTACACTACACACTTTTCTTGAAGTTTGACAGCTGTCAATTCACTTCTGCTCGACGTTCCTATCTTTCTTTCAGTCGAAACCATCATCTTCAGCCGGGCATCTAGAAAAAGCGGCGCCAGCCGCAGCATCAAGACCTTTCCATGAGCGCCCGCCACACATGAGACCGTGAGTGAGGTTGTGGGATGAGATCCAGCAAAACGAGTGGAAACGAGTGGTAGGAGGTTTGATGTGTTTACCACTAAACCATACCGGTACAAACACCAACTATGTCTATGCTCCATTGTATGCGAAGTTCCTTTTTGTTTGTTTGTGTGCACTGGGTTTGGACTATATCAACATATATTTCTTTCCTATATATTGTAGATAGAGGATCTTCAGTATATTCTTATCAACATATGTCGTCGGCGAGTCATGTTTGGTCAGGCGAAAGGGCATCCGGTGGAAGATGTTGATATCGTCTACTGAAATAACACAACTAAATCTTGACAAGCGTACGGGAATAGAACTAAAGCAACCGTATGGCAAAATGAACATAGCTGGACTACTAGCTGGACTGGATTTTGTGAGTGAACCTGTTAAACCATTTTTTACCCTCGTGAACTGTGGTGAACTACCTATTTGTTGCCAGTACGACCAGTCGATTCCACCACATATATAACCACCTGCCGCCACCATAGTGGCATTCATTCAGGCTGGAATCACCAGGACTGCCAGTCGACTCCTGACATTCTTCCCCAGGCTGGAAGTCAAACGCACCCGGTTTCCCCGGCCGTGATGACCGGTCGAAACTCAACGACAGGACTCGGTGCATCCCAGCGGCATATGGAACTCTTGCGTTTGGAAAACCTCTCATCACTCGCTTGAGCCGAGCAGGCTGAGCCGAGCACAGCGACACACGGTGACGGCACCGAACGCCCGGAGGGCGGCCGGGCCCCGCAGGGCGGCCCGTCCCAGGCGTACTGGCAGTCAGATCGGGCGTTCGAGAAGATCCAGAATCATTGGAAGTTGGAAGCATATTTGTCCTATTTGAAGTCAAAGGTATGCAGAGAATGCATTCGTCTCTGGATGACCTTCATTTCAAGGTGCCACTCTCATCCAAAGGATCCGCAGCTTGAAATAGCTTGATCCTTTGGTTCTCAAAAATGAGTTGTTGAACATCTACAGCCCAAAAGATGGTTTGATAATGTTTTGTAATCCAGCTCGTTCATGCCAAGAGATGTACTGTAGGCCTCCAGGGTCTTTGTCATTGTTGATTCATCATTCACATTCATAGGAAGTTGAAAGATGCAGCTGAAGATTTGCCTATGAGACGCAATTGGACTACCCTAAAACCAACAAAGACCCCGCAACCTCCCCTTTCCATAAAATTGATCAAGGTTGAAGATCACCCACATCCTAGACATGAACTGAACAGCTTGAACATACCAGAACCCACTAAATCCCGATTCCGATTCCAAACCACCGAACCACGTCTCGGTCAGGCTCCGTGCTCGCAGTTCGGCATGAAAATGAAGCCCAATGGACTGATTCCTGTACCTCAAAGAAGTGGCAGGCAAACTGCCAACCCTCTGGCACAAGTACAACCAATCGATTTGAACTCTACATCACAGTAATCCATTGGTTCCAGCAATGTACGGGCGGCGGGGCATGTCTCAAAACTTCTCAAGTAGCCTGCTGGCAGCGGAAGTTGACAATACTCTGTACACCAAGCCAGTCCCTGATCCCCCCACATTCGCATCTTGTGACGACACCAAGGTCAGGATCCAATCAAGGGCAAGAATCAAGCAACCAACAACCGCGGATTTGAAGCCCTTCTTCTTCTTCTTCTTCCGCCATGCCGTCCCCGGATCCGAACAGTCCCTTACCTTGAGGGGGTGCCAGTCATCCAGGAGCTACGGTGCCGACCTTGCACAGGACGCTCTGCCTTGTTTGGGCGCTGCTCTCTTGGGGGGGAGGCCAAACACGATCCTGCGGACAGGTTGTAGGAGTCAATATTCTTTTGTTGTAAGGCGTAAGGATTGGACAAGACCTGTGGTTTGGATCGGCCCATGGTTTGATATTGATGTTCGAGGGGCTGACCATGACCATATAATAGAGATGTTACTCAGTACTCATATGGCTGACAGAAAAGGTAGAAAACATTATATAAACCAAATTCATGAAACGTGTAGTGAACATCTTTGAGCTCAGTTCCAGTAGACCATTGTCCGAATACCAAATGGGAAAATTTCCACTTGATTCTTTCAGGGGGTGTAATACATCCTAGACACTCCATGTATGGAATATCATCAAGTATCTAGGTATACATTGGGGTGGTTGACCCGAAACCAATGTAATTAGGCATATATTCCAGTCCCATGGCCTGAGAATTGGTTTCAGGTCTCTGAGACTCGCCCCAGGGCACATAACACCCGGAAGCCAGCGTCTGGTGGCGGTGTGACCACCTGGCAGGGTCGGGCGACCGAGAACAACGACGACCCTCGGAGGGCCGCAGGGTTCAGGAAGGTTTTCTCAAAATCGGGCAGTCCTAGACATAGGATTCTTATGATTCTTAGCAGTTCTTGTTGTTTGTTACAAATGATGTTTGATTCTTGTTCCGTGTTTTGGAATATTGGAGCACATTGGAGCATGAACCATGTGATTCTAATTGAGTGATGTACATCAGGAATATCATTATCAGAATGATTTCAAGCTTTGTCAATCAAAGGCCCGCTCCTGATGGTCTGACGGACAGCCGACGCCCACGTCTCACGACCAAACACGCCAAGGGCCACGATGTACACCACAGCTGCAGGCGAGGGCCGCACTGGAGTGAAGGTGAAGTAGCCGCTCGCAGGCTGGCGTGGGGAGGAGGTACAAGTTTCTGTTTCAAAAAGGAAGGGAGAGGATACTAAAACTACAACAACATGACCTGGCTGTGCAAAGTCCCTTGTTCAATTCAAGTAGAACCGTAGAGAAAACAAGTGACCAACTCATGGATCGTTTGTCCTAGCATGGTTCTCTCTATATACATGTTTCGACGCCCTCCAAAAGCTGGTAATTACAGGTCGACCTCGTCCAGGTCGACAGTAGCAGCTAGCTGCTGAGGGTGACGTTCCCCGAGCCTCTCCCAGCTGATTGTTGCCTTTGTAGACGACTCCCATGCCTCGACATGCAAATGGTGTCTTGATGTCGGTTCAAGCGAAAGCAGGAAGTTTTTTGACGTCAGGAGACACGATGGTCACTGTTGTTTGTGAACATCCACCATATGTGTTCACAATACAGGAGTTATGAGTTATGCCCAAATTTTGAAATCTGACTCCCTCAGTTTAACTGGAAAAACATGTTAATCTGTTCCAGCTGTTCTTATTTTGCACGGAAACCATTTCCCCCCAAAAAAACTTCAAGGATGCTGACTGGGATGTTTGTCCAGGTGATCCACTGACTGGGTAGGATGTTCTCAGCTTGGTCTGACTGGATCCCTTCACGCCCCTCTCGTGACGTTCTTCGGCCATCGGGAGCATAGAGCCACCGCATCTCTGAGGCGTGCACCCATGATCTCGTAGCTCAGGTACTGCAAGGTTGCAGGGTCCCAGGCAGGTTGAACCAGCAGGAACAAAAATAGGGACCAGAGTGGGTGGGAGTACACCTGTGTATTCTTACATAGTTTATTATATATATATAATATAGCATATTTATAGTCCAGGCATGTCCAGGCTTCTCCAGCTTCTCTCACAACCACCAGTTGGCAGTTGGGGTCCATAGGATCATTGGGAGGTCATATTCCATCATTTCAAAGGGTTCGTGTCAAACCCTGTGCTGTGCTGCATGGAGAAAAGTGCGGCAATGAAAGCCACGTGCGAGCGTGCGATGCTTTCGGCCACGTCCAAGCAGGAGATGCAGCAATGCACCCAGTGCATGTAAATCTAGAACCCCCCTTGTACCTGCACAAAAGGAACTGGACTGGTTGCCTGCCCACCATGGCCGGTTTGGACCCCAATCTCTGGCTGGCTCACGCGGCAGAAGGGACGTGAGGTTGTTGAATCCCCAGGTTGTTGGAAAACCAGTGCTATTCATTCCATTCTGCTGCGTTGTAAACTTGAGAAATCAACTTCAAAGATTGAGCTCTAGCACAGGTCAACTATTGAGCTGTAATAGTAAAACGATGTAAATCGTCTACTTTGTCTGTTTAGTCGGCTGAACATGAAGTATGAGCAAACTTTGTCCGATTTATATGTCATAGACGCGACTTTCTATACCCCACTACCTCATCTGCTAGCTCTTTTCGGACCGAAAAAACACATCTTCACGAACCACCGTTCAACGTTCAAAGTGGATGCTCGTCGTTCATCAACCAGTGACGGTCAACAGGTGATACTGTTACAAAGCAAACAACCCTAAGCTTAATTCAAACAAAAAAGGATCAGAGTCGGTCAAAGGCTGACGGACCCTCATTGGTGTGTTCATGGAACATCTGGACCGCTGGGACCACTCCGTTGGACCGAGAGTGGGGTGTGCCCGGCATGCCCCAAACGTACTAAGCCTGTCGGTCATGAACACGTACTTAGTAAGTAACTTCCTGAGTGAAACATGTCGGCTTGACTCCCGAAGCATGACCGAATGACTCCCTTTCGACCCCACCTGTGACCAGCGCACGTACTGAGTCTCTTCCTTGACCGAACAAACGAGAGACAAAGAGAGAGAGAGAGAGAGACAGGACCGTTTCTAAAAATGGAATGCTCACTACAAGTACAGTCACTATAATAGCTAAAATAGAATAGCAAACACGTTTAGCCGCTTCTCAAGTAGTCTCAAGTAGAGAAGCATGGCACTCGTTGGGAGAGTTGATCACGCATTAGAATGGGACTCCCCTTTTCAACCGATTGGGGCAAGTGCAAAAAGGTTTGGACTCATCCCCGATCCCTGCTGCCTTTTGTGCAAGTGCATCTTGCAGCCCTTTATCCAAACATATTGATCATATAGAAACAACATGTAATCCAAACCAACGCTCCAAAGCTCTCCTTACAAAAAGCAAAAGAAAAAGAACAAACACCAACATACCAACCAACACCTCCTTGCTAGTAGGACACCCTTCTCCCGAGCGACGACATCTCTTCCTCCAAACTCTTCAGGGAACCGGAGATCCACGGAGATCCGCGGACGGCAGGACAGTGCCACGGTGCCAGTGATTTGGTGTCCCATGGCGCTGGGCCATGGCACCAGACGGTGGCCGGTGGCCGGTCAAGCTACATTGTGGAATAGGACCGAAATGACATGATACTAAAGTGGTTGCTTTGCGATGTGTACATTGGGATATATTGGGATATATCAACTGTCACTTCAGTCCCTACACAGCTCGCACTTTCCACACCCGCCGTACTCGGAAACCAAGCTGCGGACCGCTTCCCCACCCCAGGCGCCCGGACATCTTGGAAGAGGGAGACGTAGAAGTAGTTGGGGGTCGGTGTCAAACCCGGGTTGCGCACCCTTAAGTCCACCGTGATGTCGGAGCCTCTTAGCCTGGACATGGAAGAGGGGAGATGTCGTCTTCAGATGTGTTGGGTGAGGCTGGTGGAACACAGCCACTTTCGGTCTTCCAAATACATGACTCGGCCTTGAACTTCAGCTTTGTGTCATGATTCATGATCCCATGATCCTTGTCGATGTCTTCTTTGAGAAGCCTGAGCTACAGTAACCTTGCACTTGGCCCACTGCAACCATGTGCAAACTGGAACGAGGTGCTCGGAGTCTTCATGAGCAGCCACACACTGCCAGATCACAAACAAGGGGCAATCCAATCAATATGCTTAATGATACAAATTGAATTGCATATTTATAGATATATAATATAGCTCACTACTCTGCCTTGAAGCCCAAATACAAAACATCAACAAACAAGTACGTCATGGATGCCCCCCTCAGCTTTTGCTCAATCACACTCCTGGCATGTCCAAATGCCGTGCCTAGGTCTGGCTGTCACCAAGGTCGCCTGAAACATGGCAGTCCCGAGTCCCAACGATGCTTGAAAGTGTATGAACTTTGAATGTCTAGCTCCACCTTTGATTTGGGTGGTACCTATTGGATCCCACATGACTCTCCTTCCCAGATGAGTTGAATTGGTGACTCACCAGTGGCATCCTTTAATATCGGGCTGCTCCAATGAAGAAACACATCCCAGCTGTCCTTGTGACTCGCCTGACCCCTGTGACGTCGCTCGCATGAACCCCTTATTTCGCCGCTGGATCGGCGGCCCCTGAAGGGTGAGATCCCAGGCCCCAGGACCGTCGTGTGTCCGAGCTGACCAAAGGCAAGTGAAAGTGTCAACAGGCCAAAGGACAAGGAGGGAGCAATTGCATGCAGGCTCCCAAAAAGGACACAGGGAAGAACTCCATTACATCCAAAGCAAGCATCCAACATTATCTCAATATGTTCAAATCATGTCAAATCTACAGTTGCTTAAACCATCCAAGAAAACATAGCCGTGTCGAATGGGCCGTGAGTCCAAATACCCCAAAAACGTGTTGCCTGCAAAACAATGGATTTCCAAGAAATTCAATTGATCCTAGAATCGTTTTGAGATGGTTTTGGGGGTCCAAGTTTGACCACTGCCAAACGCTGCAGTACATCGTCCCGTGCCTGGTTCTGAAAGCCTGTGCACTTCGAGAATATGGGGCTACCACCATAGCGGCAGGAGTCCTCGGTGTTTGACAAAAAAAGGCGAGCCAATCGACCGAACACGAACGGAAGGGACGATCGTGTAGGCGTTTTTTTTTTTTTTATGTGTACCTTACCTGACCTGGACCATTCAAAGGGGGAACAAAATAGACTTTTTGATCTTTCACAAGGCTCTTGTTTTGTACATAGTCATGTCCTACAACTAACCTTGCTGGTCATCCGCTCCAAATATCATTCAGGCATATTCAGATTCTAGATATCAACAGTTGTTGTTTGACTGCATGTCACGTGCCAAAATGAACTGAGATGGGCTTCAAATGGAGTCAGCATGCTTTAGCTTCTGACTCTCATCGATGCTGCATTCCTGTCACCTGTCCGAAAAGGCTTGATGCTGGACACAACCTATAGCTTCTAAAGTTCCCATACCATCCAAGCACTGCCAAATGCCATTTCATTTTCAGTGTATAGTCCATCCATGACCCTGTGGATCATTCCGGGTTTCTATGCTGTGACGCTCCAGTCAGCGTAAAGCCACAAGTTGGTGTGTATCAAAATAGGGAGACCTCCCAAAGACCCCCTGGAAGACGGGGAAATGATGGGAAATAGACCAGTCTACCCAGCCAGGGCCAGGGTGTCTCCCTATCAAAATACACACCCAACTGGTGAAGTCATCACAGGATTCGTCCTCCGTTCGCCCCGTCGCATCCTTGATTCCAAGGCACCGCAAAGACGAAGCCCTCGGGTGCTAAGACCTGGCGAATAAAACGAGGAGGAGCTGCAATAGGAGTGCTTGGAAGGCCGCCCCAAAGTGCATCCAATAGGAGGACAAAATGGAAACATGACCAGCATCTGCAGAGATAGTGCCTACAGTAAATCTGCAATCTTGTCGTTGTTTCGTCTAAAATGCCGCATGTTCTTGCCAGGACGTCGGCAATGGGTCAGCATAGGATCCATCAACGCATGCATGTATATTGATCCACGCCCTGTGAATACCCAGAAAGCTGGTCTCCTACTTCCTTGAAAGGATTCGCACCGTGCAAGCGCATCCTGCAAATGCCCAAGGGGTGCAAAAAACCGTCTGTCTTCCCAACACGTTTTTTGAACTGAAGGTTGTACCATGTTGTACCAAATGACCTGACCACCCCAAACACCTCTGCTCCGAGCCCCTTGGTCTGCCAACCCGAGTCCCCTGTGAGAGCCACGCCTCCATGCGCACGCTTTCCTGCGCTTCAACCCCATCAGCGACGCCGAAGTTGATCGTGAGCTTGATCCTCAGAAAAGGCGGTGGGAATGGATCGGATCGTCCAAACATAGTGATGGGTGCCAGGAAAACAAATAGGATTTCAACCTTTACAGTGCCTTCAGTTACCTGAAAAGGGTTTGATTTAGGCTGATTTGATCTGTTCATGGTTTATGGGTGAATCCATCCGAACTCACTATCTGAAACTGTCATCATGCCGTGTCGTTGCATGTTGCTATTCTCTATCATTTCTCTTCCCATGTGGCTTCGAAGCCGCAACACTGACGAAACTTGGGTGTTCCTTTTTCTGGCGAGTTCCGGGTTTCCTTCTGGGATTCCCCCTTATTTCCACCGATGCAAAGACCGCACGCCTGAGAACTAGCGCGCCAGCTGATCGATGCCGATCACCCCGATGCCGTTGAGCTTTCGCTCCCCCCGCTGCATCGGTGGTTTAACCGTGCTGCACCGGCGAGTGGCTCTGCCCCAGGAGTCTGCAAGGATGGAACCACGGTGAAGGGCACTTGCCTCGGCCGTTGGTCGAGAAGGCGGCGAAGGAGCGGCCGAGCCGCTGTGGATGGGTTTGCGATCAAGCGAGCGACAAAAGCACAAGGGCTTGTCGTTGTTTTGCTTTTAAACGTGACTTTCAATCCTTGCATTTCACGTCGAGTGGAGGGCACAATGATGTTTCCGTAGAAGCTCGCAACTTCTACTTCTGTGCCTAGTTCATCCTATAGTTCTAGTTTTTGCGTAGTGGCACGCTGTCAACTGCACCTTGGGGCAAGCAAGCAAGGTCAAATACCCCGGGAAAGACAAAAAACACATCCCACTTCAAATGCAACTCAATTAACGTCAATTAACTTGGGGAGGCTAAAAAAACTCCCTCCCGTCATCCCGAATCGCCGTCCTTGGCCTCCAGGCCCCACCAGCAAGAAACCGGTAAAGGCTCCGTCACTAGTGCCCGTGGCCTGAGGCGGTGAAGTGACTCCTTCTCCCTCTCTAAGAAGTAAGAATTGGTTCTTATGGAGTGGAGGGACTCTTGGGGCACTTGCCTATACCTTTACAGCTTAAGTCGGTAGAGTTTCATTCATTGGATGGTGCTGGAAACCTCTTTTTCATACATGGATCGAATGAGACCGGAGGCCTCTAACTGGTCCAAAGTGGCAAACAACTGTGCTAGATGTGGAGTCTCTTGGTGTATAGATTGTGTTTCTACATGTTGCTACAGCGTTGCTAGCCTTAGCGGCCTTGCGTCTAGCTGAAGAGAATTTGGCAAGGTGTGCTACAAAACTACGAAAATCTACAAAACAATGGGACATCTTTACAGTCTTTCCACCTGAGTAGCTGCCCTTGGCGTCAGCGCACACAACTCAAGGAAACCGACTCAAGGAAACTCGCAAAGTATCCTCGAAACCACTTGGATCAACCAGTTTGCTAACTATTAATTGCTAACTGGCCCCAAACCAGTTGGCAAACCACCAGTTTGATAACCAGTTCGCACATCAGGAAAGTTATCAAACCAAATGGATCAACCACTTTCCTGGCCCCAAACAATCAAACCATGCATTAATTCAAGTGGCAGCAATGGCTCGCCCGATCCAGGGGTAGGCTGGCATCGTAGCATCCACGACGACGCCATCCTCGTCCAAGAGTGGCAGAACCTCAGGATGGATGGGTGGTGGAACCACTATGAGGAACTTATATCATCTATCTCAATATCCTCAAAAGCACCTGAAACAACCATACACCTTCTCAGAAGGTATGTCGATTTTTCGGGAACTGGAACATGGCACAATTGGAGTCGGAGAGATGAGCGCGATTGCACGGGGCGGACACCGCACCCTACTCATTTGATCAATTGATTCCATTGAACCAACAAGGGAAAAGAAACAGCAGAGGGATTCCATGGCCAAGCACGACCAACACATTCTGCGGCTTTTTTTTGTCTTTGGGGTCCTGTCGATCCACATGGAGATCCCAGAAATATGTTGACGTAGAACCAACGAACAGGATGTTCTACAAGCAGCCAACACGACCACATCTTCATGTAGAGTTCAGGAAATGGGACTCACAGCCGCATCTGAGGACTCTCTTTTTACCCGTTGCTCATAGCCACTCCACGGCCTGCGGCCAGCCCCATCAAACAGCAGCTTGTGCCTGTGCTGCGATGCTCATGAGGCTGCGGGTAAAGCGTTGCCGACGATGCTCCGAAGCACTCCCATGCGGCATGACCACCGTTGCGCTCGCTGCTCCGTGTGCATGGAGCACATGATGTGAGCCATGGACGGACTCGCAACCCACATGAGCCAAGAGCCCAGTGGATTGGAGCGCATGGAAAGCCTTCCGGTAATGCTGATACTTGAACACCTTGTTGGTGAAGTCGTTGAGGATACACCGAAGCCGCTGTGAGGGTGATTGCACTGGTTGAACTCTGACCCCCGTGGGCAAGTTCTGGCCTTGCTTGTTCATCTTGTTCCTTTCTCTCTTGGCCGCGTGCCGGTTCTGCTTGGGGGGTTTGGGCGGTGCCTCCCATCTCTTGCTGACTTGCTCCTGCTCTTGCTTGATTCGACCTTGGTAAGCTGCGAGCTCAATGATATCATCCAGAATCTCTGAAACCCAGCGGACAGCAACATGATGCCGTTGGAGGCACAGAAGAGCCTCTCTGGCCAAACGTTTTGCATTGGCCATCACTTCATCTTCGTCCTCGACCGACAGGTCCCTAACTTCCTCCTCGAGCTGTGAAAGGTCCAAAGTAGCATCCTCCAGTTTCTGGCAGAAATAGCTGGCTGCCTCTGCCTCATCCCGAAAGGGAACGCCAGATTGCATCATCGAGCTTTGCATGCGCTGGTCCCAGTCGTCAATGGCTGGCGGAAAAGTGAAAGGAATCATACCGGTTTGGAAGTCCAAGAAGTGCCTGCTTAACCCGCATGGAACCTGATCTGCAAGCTGGAGCACCTGCTCTACATCATCCTTGGAGTCCAAGAATACCACACTACTGGATTCATGGAATGGTGCTGCTGGATGTGTCAAACCAAGGTTTCGACGCAGAAAAATGACAGGTTGCTTCCTGTCTGCCGCAGCAAGGTACCGTTGGATTTCCTCGGAACCTGGGGCTGCAATGAACCAGCTCAGCAGCACTTCAGCCTTTTGAGCAGAATTCCTAACGCCTGGTGCGCTTGCAATGTCAATGTGTGGATGGACACAGGAGATGATGATGTGGGCACCCTCACAGAAGAACTCCTGGCCACCAACGCCCGTGTTGACTGATGTCACAGTGATCGTGCTGCGATATTTGCAAGGGTCAGGCATGGGGAAAATTGCGTACTCGCGGGGCTCAGACACTTGCAAAGCCTCGCCAAAATATGCTGGTATTGCCAGAAGAGTCGAACCCCACCAAACCACACGGATGACCCTCTGCTCATTTATGTAATATGTGCCAGGAATCACAGCATTGCTGCTTGACAATTGCAACACAAGTTGCAACAGGATTGCTTGTGCAGTGCTGAACTCCTGCTCATTAATCCCCTTCTGCTGCTGAATTGGATTTGTTGCGTCCATCAGCCCACTAGCCATTGCAAAAGCATCTGCCATGACTTGTGGATCCCGGCGGCCTGCTTTCAGATCGTTCACTGCATTCAGCAGCTGGTCGGTAGGACGCCTTCCGAATTCACTGCTCAAGCTGGTTCTGTCAGCGGAGTTGAAGGAAAACCCATACTCCTGGCTCAAAGCATTCTCGATTGTGGATGATTGGAGCTCTGACACAAGCTGAGAGAAGCGACCCCTTTGTTTCTTGAGAAATCCCTCCAGCAGTTTCACCATCTTGCTTGTGATGGGCGGGGGCTGGCACCCAATCAGGGGCACAGGCTGAGCGAGAGCCATCATCTCAAAAGGATGACTCCGTGGTGAGTGTGTGGCATAACAAGCCAAAATATGGAGCTTGCTTGCAGTGGTGAAAAAATGAGGAAAGCAAACACAACTCATAGACAGTACAAGTACAATCCTTGTTCGTCAGTGATCCATGTTGAAACATTGATCTTGCTCTAATCATCTCTATGCTGTATCCTGCAATAGAATAAGGACTAGTAAACAGCCTCCTGACTTGTCTCCATGTGTGCAGCCATTGTGAACCAGCGACAAGAAGCACCATCGCTGCAGTCCCTGCAAACCAGGAATCCAAGAACTGTTCATCGAAACAATGCATTGTATCAGGAACGAGCAGAACATCAACAAAACACAATTTGTTGAAGAACAACCTACCAACGTCCAACGTCCACAGTTCATTCGACAAGAACTGTAAGAATATAAATATTGCATATATCGTATAATATTTATAATATATATATATATACATTATATATTTATATACATAAATTGCATATGCACACGACATATCATTGGGGAGGTGTCCCCTCGTTTCGAGACACATCCACATGAGGGGCTGCAGCCTCGGAAAATAAGGAAAAATGACCAGTTAGCCACTGGGTAGACCGAAACACCAAGTAGCTGCAGGTTCTGCCGCCCCTAAAATCCTGTGACCCAGCCGAACATCGACCGAAAGCTCGACATCAGCCCGTGCACGTCTAAGTCCCGCTACTGCCAAAAGGTGTGACATGATTTACAGGCGTGTGTATCGTTGAATGATTGCTTCATGCTTCAATATGCTACTTGTTGACTCCCCTAAGTTCCCTTCAAAAAAGGTTAATTAATGTTAATTAACCTTTCACCACCCGTTCTTGCTTACTAAATTCATCAATTCCCCAACAAAAAGGCTTTCGCAAATCCACTGAACTTCTGGGTACCTCGGAACCTTCCAAAGATCCCGACTGCCACCATTGGACGCTGCCAGACCATCTGCCTGGGTGACGCCCGCCGGGGGGGGTCCATCGACGATGGACTCCACCGGCGGAGACTCCACCGCCTTAGGCCCCCGAGCACGGTAGGTTTTGAAGTACCAATTCATCACCTCGATCGCTGCTGCTCGACGGAGCGGGAGCCATCGAAGCGAGGAGCGAGCGAGATCGGGGAGCGGGGATGTCGGGATGTCTTGCTTTTTGGGGAAAAAGAGACGCCTTTAAGGCAATGTAATGTATATATATATATGGAGTAATATGGAGTTAAGCAGAGAAACAATTTGTTTTGTAAGGTCAAGGGTAATCTTCTTCCACCCATTCATTCTGAACGGAGAAACTAACACGCTAGACTATGACAGGGGGACAAATGATGATAATAGATGTCTAGCAGCACACAAGAAGTGCGATCAGTGAACCATCTGATGTTGCCATCATGGCCCTAGCAGCAAACAGAAGCCATGACAGCTGAACAAGAACTGCGAAGCATCAATGCACAGGGTGGGTGAACAATCCTTGGCTCTCCTTTCAAGGATGTTAAAGGTTTATTTCGAAGGTATCCAAGGCAGGTGCAGGTGCAGGTGTTTACACAACTAAACTTGCCAAGTTTTCTTTCCGTTGACCATCTTCTCACTGTGAGAGTGCACATGATCAAATCACTGCAATCATCCCCAAACAAATAAAACAGTGTCAATCAGTGGTCATGCGGTGTCCAAAACACATCTGATTAAAACGAGGTTGTTTAAACATCTGCTTTAGGGGGCCCCTTTCCTAGTTGTAGGATTAGATGGGGCCCCGAGCCCAGCTGTGCCACGCTTCGCCCAGCCACGCGTCCCGGCGGGTTTCCCCGCCTTCTCGGCCAGCGACGGCGATGCCACGCCCAGCTGGAAGCGGATCGTCGTGAGCGCCTCGAGGCGCCGTGAGCGTGGTCGCACCACGTGGCGCGCGTGGCACAGACGAAGGGCATGCAGGACGGCTGAGATGGTCAAGCGAGGGGGGTGAGGCCTGATCGAGTATGAATCATCTCAACTTTTTATTCTGGATACGTCTAATCTATCATCCAAAGCTGGCAAAAACAAACAGCAACAACAATCACACCAGGATCAGGATATATACTGTATATATAAATATCACTGTTTGATGCTTCAGTACGGCACAGTAAGGTAGGTAAATCTGAGATTGATTCCATATTTAAGTCTTAAGTGAGGGTGAAAAGGATACCAAGGCACAGGCCTTTCATCTGCCAGCTGGCCCATTTAAATCACGAAGGGAGCGTTGTTTTATCCTATGATGTCCTATGTATATATATATATATAATATAGTGGTGTTTCACCTGACCAAGAACAACATGGTACGTCCTGGAGTTCATGATCCAATTCGAGGTGGAGTTCGGTGTGGCCCCTGGGTGCAGTGTGGCCCCTGGGTGGAGCTTGATGGCTACATGGCAACTTTTGCCTCCATCAAAGCTCCAGGCTCAAATTCCCAAAACTATTTTTAGCCAGTCCCTACGTGCACCATCAATTGAGTTTTGAGCCTAAAAAGTCCTGACAGGGATGGCACGGTGGCACGGTGGCGCCGGTGGCACCCAAACCTCCTAACACCCAGACCATCGTCCGACCACATGGTGTCAACTCATCGTGGTTTCCAGGGTGTTGGGCCCCTGAAGCGGCATCACATGGCATCACACCTCAACCGGCTGTCGTCCCTCCACCCCATGAGTCGTTGACGGGAACAGGCTGTGTGAGCACGGCAAAGTAGTCCTCAAAATCATCCAAAGCAGGTGGGATCAGCACAGGATTGTGTAGATGGAAACAAGAGCGTGGTTTCAAACGCGTTTACGCAAAAACTGGGCTGTGGCTGCGGCTGCGGCGGCTGCGGCTGCTCCGAAGGGTTTGAAAGGAAGTTCAAGAGGTCAATGTTCAAAGAGGTCTCATGCCACAACTATTCGGACCTTTGAACACCTACACATTGAAATACTGCGTCGAAAGCCTAGGTAGATCTAGGTAGTATATATTGACTCTCACCTACTTTCTGACCTGAAGAAGCCTTCCTTTGATTCAATGAGCTCTGGCTCACCTCTGGGTTGGCGAAGTCTGAGCTCCACTTCCGCAGAAAGTCTGGACCTGGGCGGTCCAGTCCGACCGTGTCAGCTCGGGAAACCGAGTCTGAGCAACTCTCAACACAAGGATCAAAAGGAAAACAAATCATATCGCGCTATAGGTATAGGCTATAGGTATATACAAGTAGCTTAAGCTAGGTAAACAAAGCTTCGTGCTCAGGCATATATGCGCACTACTGAACTGTCGTACGGACACTTGCTTCGGTCAGTGTCTTTGTGAAATTTTACCGGGCCACCTCTCATGCTACGCCGTGGGACGTGATTTAAAAACAACAAAAACTAGACGACGAGTGGCCCGAAAGCATTTTTCATCACGTAGGAAATCAGAGTGCGAGTTATCCGGTAAGTGTGTAGTGAGAAGTGTTAAGTCGAGTGAGTTGAGGTAGTGTGTGGGTTTCTGTGCGTGTGTCTATGTCCGTGTGGAAACGAGTCTGCGTATGTGTGTGTTCGTGGAAGTTGAGGGAGTGTGTGGGTGTTTGTGTGCGATGCGGCCTCCCAAAGCCCCCACCGGCGGCCAAGCGGTGACAGCCCAGCTCATCGTCGTGAGC